AAAAAAAAAAAAAAAAAAAAAAAAAAAGAAAAAGAAAGATTGTCGTTTATCCAGGCAAGGCAAGCAAAGACTTCTAGAGCACAAATCTGTGAACTCCAAAGGATGAAGCAGAGAAATGACGACCAATATTCAGGGATAATACTTCCTCTCCCCACTTACAGATTACATACAATTCAGCCAATTCGAGGGGAAAAAATGTAACATGTTGTGAAAATAAAATTTGTAAGCGTCATTTTGAATTTTCTGCTAAGATTTCATAGTTACCATCGAAGCATAGCAGCATTCGTATCTTTTGAGTTTTTGGCATCAAGAGAAAGTTCTGGGCCCAGCAATTTATTCATCCGCCTCACGAGACGATAGTAGTAATGCCTAACCTGTGTTGCAGAGATGAAAGATAAAGTATAAGAGTAAGAACATGCTGAGGAAAGAAAGAGAATTGATAGAAGTATCAATTTCATAAAAAATCACCTGATCCTTGTTTTTGCTCTGGACACGGCAAGTGATTTTCTCAAAATTCTGCACGAAAAAAACAAGATGGGTTTCCATTATCAACCAAAATACATTCACCAGAGATAAAGCACATTCTTTTTTTTTTCTAAAAAGAACGATATTTCAGCAATGGTAGCTGATAGTTTGCCTTGCCGACTTGTCGTAGAGCAGCAAAAAAGCTTTCTTCCTCATCACGAGTCCAAGCAGCCCACTGCCTCGGCTTCTTAACTGCATTTTCAACAAAAACCCAATAAGTAGAGTTTTTTTGCCAATTAATTCACCCAGTAAAGTAATAAGATATAAGATTACCAGGCATCTGTGGAGCAACATTTTCTTGAGAGGATGACGGCACACTGGTATGACCATCCTCGTTTACCGGATTATCAGGACCGAGGGCAAGCTCACAGTCTAATAACGAAACCTGTGACACCATTTCTATATTCTATCTTTTCAATAACACGATCAGACATCCATGCGTTCTGAGATCACATAGTCTCGTAAGATCGAACATACATTGTCTGAAGGCAAATGCCTGGTAGAAAAAGGAGAAATTAGTAAAGAACTCGATGAAAAGTATTTTTAATATCGAAACATGTGTTAAAATCAAGAAGATAGTTTTCTTGTGACTTGTGAGTAAATATACATAAAGAAACAACACTATGCAATTATTCTGAGTTTCAACAAAAGTTACAGCTCTATCAATGGCAAGCACAGGTACTCAATCAAAAGGAACCCTAGCTCACACCTTAACCTAAGAGTAACAATTCAATGATTTCAGCAGTCAACTAGACAAAAATCCCAAATCAGAATTGAAATTCACAGGTCACACGGAAAGAGAACATTCACAAGTGGCTCAGACCAAGTAAATCGGCATGTGCATAGAGCAATTAGGGTTTCGACATTATATCAACACAATCAAGTACATGAACGATCTTCAAGCAGTAGAATTCCAATAAAAAATTTAATCGAGAACAAATTGAAGCTCCATTTCAGGTCACCGCATAAAAGAAAAATCAACTCATCAACTAAATTCACCAACCTATGCAACCAGAGGATAAAATTACAAAATCAATAAAATTGGGGGAAAAAGCCCTAAGATCTAATAATCCGAAAAGCAAAATGTACTCCAATATGTATAAAGTACTAATTGACTTCCAAAAAAATGGTGGCTTATGAGAGATTTGCATACCAGAACACAAAATCAAGATAAGCAGGAGGATGAAGAGCAGAGATTAATTTGAAAAATTAAAAATGAAAATGGAAAAAACAGAGACATGACTTTGAACTGCAGTTAAAAAGTTCAAATTAATATTGCAAAGGGATATTATTAATATTTACTGGAAAAAAAAAATGAGAGAAAAAGTATAAAACATGGGAAAATATTGCTCTAATAATTGACTGGATAATATTATTATTATTTATTTCTTGATAATATTACTTGTATTTTTGACTGGATAATATTGCTTTAATAATTGACCTATTTGGGTGATAATATTTATGGTGCATAGGAAGGAAAATTGGAAAAATGTTCAATAATGTGTACTTATCTTTTACTTACATATTAACCGCATATGGTATGCTAAAAGAACGGACTAAAAGAAGTAAGATTGAAGTAGGAAGCGTAAAGAGTATAAGAGTAAAAACTAAAAAGTCAACAAATTTCTTATAATTTCATCAATAACCAATGGGGTCTATGATAAGAAATCACAATATATAGAGTCCAAGTCTCATAACGAAACTATCTTGCCCCACAAAAAAGACTAAATACATATATACTTACCAACTTAAATAATATTAACTATGGAGAATAATAATACGAAAGGTAAATAATAATAAAAACATGAAAATAAATAAATATCTAAGATCTTCATTTTTCATCATTATCCTTCGGTTGAGCAGGACTCGCCCTCGAATCCGACCTGATCTCGTTGCCGGCGTCATCTGTTGCCCCACACACAAACGCCGATCGCAAATGGAATCGTCCTCCGCCTATCCATCAATCGAAAAATATAATTGAAGTAGCCAAATAAAACATGACAACCCACCTCCAAGTGGCTGTCTTGTACTTCGACAAAAGTCCCGACTTGTCCACTGAAGAAACACCGTGATTCATGAATATCAATCGCAACCCTCACATGTCGACGGCGCGCGTCCTCCATCCGCTCGTACGTAGTAAGGGCATCATCTTCATTATTTACTCTCTGAATCGGGCAAAACTATGACACACACAACTTCACAAGGTCTTTGTCGGGCTGACCCAACACGCAACACTCTGAAATTGTTGGATGCGCTAAAAGAACTACTTCAATTTCCAAGGCAGATAATTTATATCCACCAACCTTCTTAATATCAACATAAGTACGACCCAATTGACATAGTATCCATCTTCTGCAATTATCTTGGCCTCCATACCAGGAATTGAACGTCGTTGGTCTCATTGGAAAACAATGCACGTGTCCCCGTAGCCGAGGACAAATAGCCAACCTCGCCGCAACCAAAGCAAAGCAGTCCGCCGACAGCCTGAGGAACACCTGCTGCCGCGGCATGACTACCAGACTCGATCCCTGTCGCGCGTTGAACACCTACGTCAGGCGTGGCCGTGCGCCCAGCCCCTAATGCTAAACCCGTCGAGACACCCGCGCCAGTCACGGCGCACCCAGACTGCATGCCCGAGACGTCGACCTCGCGACGTGGCCCGCATAAATGAACGTCATCCACGCTCTCATTGTCTCGGAGATCGTCGCGCCACCCGAAGTCGTCATCATCTTGTTGTGTCTGTCGAAAGTCGAAGGGATTGGCCTCCGACAGCGTCTCTTCGCCTTCATCCTTGCTGTGCATCGGTGGTGATGTACGCTGACCGGGCGCCCCGCCAGGCCCTCTTCCGCTATGAACTCCACGATAACCCTCGCGATCGCCCCGACCGGCCAAGTCGCGGTTCGTTTGTTCATCCCGAACCATGGTATGGAAAGTTAGGGATATGTCCCCGATCTTCGCGGACAGATCCGCAATCTAACGACCCATCATCTCGAGCTGGTGGCCAAATCCCTCGGCCTGGTGGCTCAGGTTGTAGATGGCGGCGTCACGCCTGTCGTCTGCAGCATCTTGTCTTCGCTGCAACATCATAAATCGTGTTGACTTTTGATGTCAACTGAGGTAGCGCAACGTGCGATTAGAAATAAAGAGAAGAGATTTATCTCTCAACTATGTATTTTCTTATTCAACACCAACTGATACGAACTGATGTAGAGAAACGTACGAGTGAGTAGACGTGGCCATTTGCCGGGCCGGGTCGAAACCCGGCCCGGCCCGCCGGGTCGCCGGTTCACCATGTGTTGAACCGGGCCCGGCCCGCCTGTAACCAAGGGCCGGGTCGCAAACCCGGCCCTTAACCGCCGGGTCGCAAACCCGGCGGGTCGACTCGGTTCCGGGTCGGGCCCGGCGGGTTTGCGGGTTTTTAATTTTTTTTTTT